ACAAAGGAAGTCTGAGAACCTGTCGCAGCCAACAGGAGTCTAAATAGATACGGTAACTAAATAACTAAATGTAACATGGTATCCTGGATGGGATTCTGATACAGAAAAATAGATTTGAGGTAAAAACTAAGGCAATCTGAACAGACTATTAAAATATATCAAATTTGGTTTATTAAGTACATACTAACATACTGCACTTATAATAACAGTGTGCAGGGCGTAGGAGGGGTAATGGGAACTTTTTACTATTTGCTCAATTTTTTTGTGAATTTAAAACAGTTCTAGAAAAACAAAGTTTATTAACAATAAAAAAAATGAAAAAAAAAAGGCAATGATTTAAAAAAAACACTCAGGCCAAAACAACTAAAACATTTTATACTTAAAGTAATCCTTTTGTTCTAAAAATTATTTCCAAATAGAGTCAGGGTGGGAACAATTAGTTGTCCAAATTCCTATAAAGACTATAACAAAACAAGACAAAACACTTTCACTGATTAGAAGGAAAACTATAGGAAATTTACTGTGATTAGGCCCCAGGTTTAGAACAGTAATTTCCTCTAATGGGATTTGTCAAAGTGTTCCCGTAGGTACTGATTTAATTCAATTCAGTACACATCTATCGAACACCTGCTCTGTGAACGGCCCTTGGTTTGGGATTGGGTAGTGGGTAGTGGGTAGAAAAGCTGAGGAAGGGGCGCCTGGGTGGCTCAGTCAGTTAAGCGTCTGACTGGATTTTGGCTCAGGGCATGATCTCAGGGTCGTGAGATCGAGCCTCACATTGGGTTCTGCACTGGACATGGAACCTGCTTAAGATTCTCTCATTCTCTCTTTCCCTTTCCCTATGCCCCTCCCTGCCATGTATTCTCTCTCTCTCTTTAAAACAAAACAAAACAAAAAAAAATGAATAAAGCTGAGGAAGACATGGCTCTTGAAACCAAAGACGTTAGCATCCGGAAGAGCATAAAAACATGACATGAATACTCAAATACAAGGCACGAGGTACGTGGGAATGCAAAACAGAGGGAGAGCTCATTGCAAGAAAGGCACAAGGCTGGACCAGTACAAGGCATGTATTTGCAAGAACGGACAGGTCAGTTTGGCTGGAGTATAAGTTGAGGCAATCATGAGCCCCCGGCGATGAAGAGGGTCGCAGGACACTAGAATCCAGCAGGATCGGAGCCACGCTTCTACAACACTAGTAATACCAGAACTGGAAAAATGGACAGGAGGGCAGAGAGGACCACAAGCGAGGAAGGGAAGCACTACAACAGCCCGGGAGGGCAAGGGGTCAGAACCACGGCTTTCCTGCGATAACAGAATGAAGAGGGCACACAATAAATGGCTCTCGTCATCCAGACAGCATTTGATAAGACTGTGTGCAACTCCAGGGCTATGCTGGCAGGAGATGGTCCTAATGGTTAAGACTGGGCCTTGCACGTACTGTTCTGACACAGGCGCAGACACCCAAGGGAAGATGTTGACACAAGAGGGTGCTGCTTTGGCTTGCTTGACCTGACACAAATCTTAGTTCTAGAAAGCTTCTGTTTTTTTTCCTGATTATAAAAATTGTAAATGCTCATCATAAAACTGGGGATCTACATAAAATAAAAACCCCTCATAGTTGTATAATCCAGAGGTAATCATTTTCATAATTTTGGGCTATTCATGAGGCATTGGGAAATAGTGCAGTTGGTTAGTTAGGGAAATAATCTTAGTTATGTACACTCTTATAGGTTCTACCTTATACTATAAATAGGAAACCAGCACTGCCCATAAAAAAAGATGTTGTTTTGAGCATTAGGATCTATAGTCATTTGTCTAAATGGCTGGGCTCCATTTCTGAGAAGCTCTTTTTGTATACACTTCATGGCAGTGAACTGTCTTGATATATATATGTATATATCAAGATATTTTATATATATATCCTAATTATTTATATATATATATATCAAGACAGTTCATATATATATATATATATATAAAATCAAGATACATATATAATATCAAATATCTATATAATGGATAAAAATATATAAAAATATATATAAAATATATATCTAAAAATATATAGCATAGTATGTAAAGGCTTATCTTAACAATAGAAAATAAAAAAAAGATTAGAATGTATATAAGAAGTCTTCCAACTCTAAAATATCCTATTCTAAAAGAAACAATTGTTTTATAATGAATTTTTTTTTACTACAGTGCAATTTCTTAGGTATACAACTATCATGCCATCGCAGAACAGACTGCATACATTTTATATTCACAAAAATGCATTTACCAAACTGGAATAAATACATATATACGCACCCACATACTTGTATTTTATGGTATAGGAGATCTACTCAGAGACAAGGCAGGATACAACCTGTCAGGATACAACCTGCCTTGTCTCTGAGTAGATCTCCTCTACCATTAAATATTTTAAATGCTCTTTAGTGGACGATCATTTTAATCTGTCTAAAATTTACCAATTCTTCCAGAGCCATGTCAACTTTTGCCTCCGTTATATGCATTCAGTGATAGCGCATTCATTATTTCTGGATGATAGTAAGAGATCCTCTGAATTGCTTCACCAGTGTCGAGCCTCTTCTTTTTATAGATTGTCATAGTGATTTCTCTCTAACATAGCACTGATCATGTCACTTCCCAGCCCAGGGGGGCCTTCCGTGGCTCTCAACGGCCCCATGATAAAGCTCACACTTCTTGGCCTGCTTTCACTAGTCCAGACCACCCCCTCCCCACCCCCACGCACCCAACATTCCTACCCAAGTCAACCTTCTGGGCCTTTACTTCAATTTCCCCTTGCCTGAGATTCTAATATTGTCCCATGTTCCCTCTATCTTGATGACAGTTATTTGTGAACATGTCTTTCTTCTGGATTGTGCCATAAACTCTAGGAAGCCAGGACTTGCAATTTCATTTCAGTGCAATTAAATATAAATCAAAGTCACTTAAGACCAACTCTATTCCGGACACCATGCAAGGTGTTAAGAGTAGAGAGATGAGTGAGACACAGTCTTCCCCCTCGGGGATCTCAGATCCCGACAGGGAGACGAGATATAATAAACACCCTGATTTGAGCACTACGTGAAACTGGAGGAGGACACTCAAGACCCAGGGCCCACACAGCAGAAGGTACGGCTCTCTCTGCGCAGGCTGGGCTGTAAGCAGGTGATTTCTGAAGGGGCAGGAGAGGGCTAGAGAGCGAGGGGAAGTGCAGCACGGCCTGTCCCAACCAGTTTTGGACAGGTGAGTACTTCTTTAGTGTGGGAAGAAATGGATGTGCCTTTAGCCATAGCAAGGTCAACACAAGCCAACAGCCTTGCAAAATATGACTGGGCTTCAAAACCAAATACGACTGAACATCTCTCCCAAGGATGTTTTGGTCTTTCTTCCAAATATTTATATTAGTTTGAAGTTTCTGCATATAATCTTGTTTCTCTTCAACTAGGATATACGCTTTGACAAGGCAGAATGCATGTGTGTGCCCTTGCTGATTGTCTCAAAGCCCTCAGTCTGGTGTAGAACACAGAGTGGAAGTTTTATCAATATTTAAAGTCATAATCCAGCCCTCACCCTAGTAGTTGTAGGCTCAGGGCTTAAATGGAATTCAAAACACCTGTTAGAAAAATTAACCACTGCTGAGTCAAGATAAAAACAGAAAGGACCAGCATATTTTGCAGAAATGTTTTGGATTAGTGATTTTGCCTCTAGAACAATTTTATTTGCCGTTAAAAAAGCAATTTAATGCAATTTGTTTCAAATGTCATATTTTAGCTTATTTATGGTTGTCAATAACTGTGTAATCAACAGCAGAACAACAAGTATAAATTTTCAGCTATGATAATTGGATTCGCCTCTCAGAATTGCTTGTACATAATGACTGTTAATCAATGGATGACATTCCCTGCAGATAAGCCAGCCCTCTCCCTCCAATCTCTGCTGGACAGGACAGTAATCTGTGACCCGAAATGGCATCTTCTCTGTAGGGAGTCAGTGTAGTGTGATGACTTTGGCTCAGTAGCAGAGCCAAAGAACTGGAAGTGAGTGAAGAGCAAATTGGAACCATCCGTGTCACACTCTGTCAAATTTATACCAAATCAGAGCAACAGCACCTTGTGTTTGTTTGGGGGAGGGAGTAAGAAATGCATGTGAGTGTGATTGTCCGAATCTGTTTGTTTAAACTGGAGAAGCAATAGGGCAGAGGAATTCTCTCATAGGACCCTGTCCAATGAGGAGAAGAAAAAGAAAAATTGAGACTAAACAAAGGAAAGAAAAGAAGTAAAGGCTATAGCGTAACATAAGTGAATAATAAGGGAAATGTAGGTAGGCATAAATTCAGGAATGAATAGGCAAACGAAGACTGCAAAGGAAAGGACAGAACGTGGCAGGGGGTGGTGTGGGAAAGTCACAGTCCACAGAGAAAAGGATCACATAAGAGAGACAATGAAGAGGAAAATGATAACAGGGATATATTTAAGTCAGACCCTCAGAAGGTTCTCTGCAGGATGATTGGATTCCGGAATCTTTCGCTGGGACGCTAACCCATGCTCTCCCACGCATTCTTCCCTTGGTGGTGGGGGTTGGGGGGGGTGGGGAGGATGAAATATGTCTCCTGTTGTTAAATTTAACTCCTAAGTGTCATTGCCCATAATTCCACTCTTGCAGTTTTACGGGGACAGGGACGTGCCAACAGTCTGGATGTCAATATCATTTTCCCAGGAGATGACAAGAACCATGCAAGTGTCACCAAAGGGAGAGTCAATCCCGAAAGAGTAGTTGGATAAAGCACAGGCAGGAGGAGCCCTGCTGTGTATTCCAAGGGACGGTGTCCGTGGAGAGAGGTAACTGTGGGGTTATGCTCTAATAAAAACTCAAGTCCGTTGATCCTGCCAGAGACCCATAAATGACCTTCTGTTTAATTCCTATTTCTTGTCCTCTCCGTTTGCAGACCTCACCCGCCCCGACAGACATGTGAAAAGCAGCTCTCTTACATGAGTCTGGGTATGTCACTGACAGCCACTGTCCCATCATGGGTCTCACTCTCTCCATCTTCCTCCTCTTCATCGCTACTTTCCGACTCCTCACTGGAGGAGGAGTAATCAGTCACCTTCTTCAGTGGGCGGTTTGTTTCTTCGATCCGAAGTTCTCGTAATTCTTTGGCTAATGCCGTCAGATCCTACAAAAGAGAAGTTCATTTGGCACGTATGAATTGTAGAGACGACCAAAGTCACATCTCTCAGCAACTCAGGGCTCCAGCTTAAGCAACAAGAAAAGAAAGCTCTAGATAGAACTGTTACAAACATAGTGGCTGCATGGAGCGAAGAAAACGATGTTTGTAGCGCAGAGAAACTAGAAAAAAAAGATGAAGTAAATTTAGACTTTGTTCAAAACCAATGGCTAGACTGAGACAGTTCAGTTCTAAATATACATGCGTATATATGTGTATGTGCACTCTGTGTGGACACATATATACAAACGTTGGGTTCTCGTTTTATTTTGTGAAGGTGACGTTGGTCACCCTCAGAGTGAAGGGGAAAACACATGGACTGAGCAACTGTTCCCCGGGATTTTGGGACTCTTGCCCAAGCCACGGTCATGGCCTTTCCCCTCTTTGATTGCTACTGTACCAAAATCTAGCATCAGTCACAGAACAGAGCAATTCCCACGGTTCCAGCTACCACAATGGCTTACTTGATGTGTCATCATTCCCTGGGGAGCAGAGGCACCACATCAAATAATGGCCTGCCCCAAAGCCCTGTGCCGCTGAAATTTATAGCCCCAGAGCTGAGTTAATCAAGAGGAACGACAACAGAACAAAAAAAAAAAAAAAGGAATTCTCGAATTCTCTTCCAGAACAACAGGTGTTTCATTTTCTTTTGTTTAAAATCACAGTCACCTGGCAGAAACCCTCATGAGGAATACTGAAATGAATGTGCAAACACCAAAAGGGAAGGGACCATTTTTCAGGTTTCCATGAGTATGATGCGGTCTTCAGCCTTATGGATGTGATGGTGTGGTATCTAATCACGAGACACATTGCAGGCAGTGGGGCTGGATCTCTGACTACCTTCGACTTCACATGCTTTCAGGGCAATGCAGAGGGGAGCACTGCAGAAGCGTAGCCGCTCTAATTCGCACGGGTTACACTGCCCATGGCGTGTGGCATGCAAATGAGGAAAAAGCGATTGGACATCGGTCTTACCATTTCTCCCTATATTAGTGACCCATGTGGGAATCAGAGCATTCAGTGAGAGACAGGGCATTAGGGAGAAAGAAACTCATTGAAAGATACTAAATCCCACAGTTTTCTTATGACCATATTCTCTCTTTATTTCCGTTCAGAAATGTATTTGTTTGTCCAATCCTCCTGAGGTCAGGTTAGACCGATATAGGTGATCTAAATGGCATCTTCTAAACTAGCCTAGAAGGAACACTGTGAGGAATGTGTATAGCTAAATTATAAAATGAAATTTTGTTCCGGGGGAGATCACAGATCATCACGTTTCTTTATCATCCCCTCTGTGTCAGGCATTGCTATTTTGGTTAAGACTAGGAGAGGAAGTGGTTCGGGTGTTTCATTTGGTCTAGAAATTTAGGAAGTTCAAGGTGGTAAAGGAAGGAGTCGTTTCTTCCAATTTCATAATAAAATCAAAGGAAAGCAATCATGGCTTTTAAATTTGTTCTGAAGGGACATGAAACACTGGAAAAGGGAAGATTTTGAAAATTCAAATTGTGTGTTTTCCACCCAAAGATGCTTGCTGGGCTTTTTACACACATGCACACATGTATGGCCTCAATCTCAGTGGATATATGTACCCCATCTGTGAAAATGAAAATAGAATTGTATTAAAAAGACTCAAAGGTGTTCAAATATAATGTATACCGCTAAAGAGGAAAATTACCACATAGATAGAATTTTATGCAAATGTATTTCTTGATTCTTTAGCAATGGACCAAAATAGGAAGAGGCAATATTCAGATTTCGGCTTTATATTCCGTATTTCCTCTGGACATTGCCAATGTTTATCTTTATCAAACTGAGAAGACAGTGAAGGGTATGCAATACTTGAACACAGGGGAAACACACTTTTGATATTTGTTATGCTATGAATAGAAAAGGATATTATAATCATCCAAACCAGCAAAATAGTAACAGATAAATTTATTTTGTGTCTTGTCTTCTATATTTTAGGAGCATTGTAAGTCTCAACAAAGAATGTAAGGCATTTAAAATGTTACTTATCATTATAAAATGCATTTGTTATAATTTAAAGAGAGAATATGGTTTAAGATAATTTATTTCTAATGTTAATATTCTGAGTAAAATATAATAATATTAGCTGTGATTTATTTATATTTATAATACATTTTCCTTGTGGGTTCATTTTCCTCATCTCTGACATTTCAAAACAAGACAAAGGAGATTTGAAAAAAATCAAAACTCTTTAGCAATATGAAGCCAGTTCAAAGGCCATTGATTTCAAGAAACTCTCATTTGTGAAAATGACCTGATTTTTTTCTAACACTGTATATAAGAAAAGTTTATAGTTCTGATTTGTTTTATAATTTTGCTTAAAATTAGAATATTTTGGGGGGGTTCTACATTATTAAAGAGGTATCTTTCTTGAAACACTGAAAGTAATTGCAAATTCCTCTTAAGTTTACTTGGTAACAGTTTAGACGGTGAGACATATATGAGACTCCCAAGGTAACAATAATGAGTAACTCAAAGGTAATATCCCAGGCAAAGAAAATTTATCTCCCATTGTCTACACGCTTAGCTGTGGTTTTGTTCCTTATCCATCCTCTCTGGAAGAATATAATAGCAAAGTTATAGAATATAGACACAATCTAAAACTGACACCACTGGGTTCAGATCCATTTTCATACATTTTAGTTTCTGACAATACCAATTTTCTCCATATAATGAGTTTTTGTGGTAATTTATTGCTTGGCTGTCTCAAGCCTCGAGCTAAAAAGTATTAAAAAAAAAAAAAGAAAAAAGTGCTATTTAGCATGAAAATATTTGAGAAATGTATAGTATAACTAAAAAAGAAATACAGCAAAATGGTAAGATTTTTTTTTTTTTTTAACTATGGAGTAAACAAATATGAAGATAGGAGGCTCTTAGCCCAAGGCTTCTTTGCTATAACACTTCTTAGAATTAATTTGATTTGTTTTCATTAAAAAAAACTCTTATTTAATCTGACAATTATGCATACTTGACCTAAAAAGGTGCTCTTTTAGGTCTCTTTTTAGAAACAATGTAGTTTATTTAGATTTTAGTTCAATATTTTGAGCTATTAAAATAAAAGTTAAAAATCTTTAAGCTGGTCTTTCTGTATGAAAATAATTTATTTCCCTTTTAGGAAATCTTAAGAAATGACCTTGGGAAAGTTACTTGACTTCAGTATCCTCATCTGAGAAAAAAAGGGTTTAGACCACGGGCTATTATTCAAATTCTCTCCAATCTGTGGGTGTGCTCTGGAATTTTCCAGATTCTTACGTAGTAACAAAAAAATAGTGCTAAAGCCAGTGTTTGTTTTTGTATTTCATCTTCATGTCATATGTTTAATCGTGCTGAAGTAAAAAGGATATTTATTTTCAACGATTGTGTTAATCACAGACTATATTGCACAATCTTATAGTCCATTACAAAGGAGTGCCAAATTAATGGACACCCCCTCAGATGGATGTTCATTTAAAATCAAACCACTAGATTAACAATAGTAAGCAACACTTTTTTCAGAGTTTTGAGGCTTTTCATTTCAATTCGGGGTTATCTAAATGGCCAATCAGTCACTGTAGAAGGAAGTGATATCAAAACCTATGAATGAAGATGGGAGAGAGGTTTATTGCAAGATTTCTCAACTGTGGCACTATTGACATTTGGGGGCCAGATCACTCTCTACGATGGGTTGCTCTCCTGTACATGGGAGGACGTTTGGCAGCCCCTCTCTGCTCTACCCATAAGACACCAGCTGGCACTGCCTCCCCCTCCAAGCTGTGACAACCAAAACTGTCCCCAGACTTTGCCAAATATCTCGTTAGGGGGGATGGGGAGAGGCGGGAAAAGGAGAAGAGGAATCATCCCTGGTCAAGAACAGGTAGAACCAAGTAATACTGTATTTTTTGTGGTTTAGATCAGTGACATTCAAGGGTAGATAGGATTATCAGAATTACCTGGAGGGCTTTTTCCAACCACACATGGTTCCAGAGATTTCCGTGTATAGCTTACATCCCCTCAATTACTTATACTTCTGTTAGCCCCTGTGGTCTCTGTCCAGTGTATGAGAGTAAAACCAATGAAATAAAGCCATTTTTTTTAAATAAAGCCATTTTTAAAAGCCTAAAATATCCTGGGTTTACCAGATGAAATCCATTTCCCCATGACAGCCACCTTCAAGCTAATTTCTGCGCATATGAGATTCCCCTAGAGTTTACACACACACACACACACACACACACACACACACACACACACACACACACAAAACCATTTTCCAAGCAGCCATGGCACCAGAATATCATTCTCTTTCTTCAACAATTTGGGAGAAAATTGATACAAGTTGTGATAGTTGTGTTCTTCTGACTATATTATGAGGGGAAGGGCCAGGCTGTGTCAGAGAACAATGAACATTCCCTTTCTATAAATGCTGTCCACACACTGTCAACATGGAGAGTCTCATTTTTTTTTAAGAGCAGCAATCCTTTACCTGAGAAATAACGTTCCAAATCACTCTGAATTTAGGTAAGGTGTCCTAACTTTGAAAAAGTGAGGCTCTTTGATAAAGATCAGATGCATAGAAAACTGTTTCTTTCACCTACCAAAATGGCTCCATGTCTCCAGCCCAAACCATAGCATGAGGACGACCTCTTGGCTTTACACTTCATAGAATGCTCTCACACACGTGACCATGAATGATCCTAATCAAGCTTGTGATTGAGGCAGAGTGGGTGTCTTTCTTCCCATTGTACACAGGAAGAAACTGGCCCAGAGAGATTATATGAGACTGGTCCTGGCCAGTTACTTATTGGGGGGAGGGCTAGAATTTCAATTTGTTGACTCTAAAGCCAGTGCTTTTTCCATATCATTTCACAAAAATGGTGCTCAGCAGAGTACAGCTATAAAGCCATAATAGTAGTCCTCAGATTCCATGCAGTCAGGACTCTTGGCAAGGCCTGTCTCTTAAAAACAGCATCAACAACTATGCTGTGTTCATGCAGGTCTGACAAACAGCAGAAAGGCAGTCATCCTTCTAAGCAAGCTACTTAAGATTGACAAAGCCATATATTTTTCTAATGGAAAAATGTCTCCACAGATAAGGAAATAAAGTCACTTAACTCACCAGGATTCATTAACTAAAGTTGATGTTGCTGCCGATGCTGTAGTTAATGTCCCACAAAACGAATCTAACAATACCCAGTAACTCCTTGTTCACAAATCACACACTATAAATTCGGAGTGCTTTAGCATGATGTCTCTCTTCTTTGTTAGTCAAACCGTCAACCACCCCCTGCCCCCGCCCTGCACAGCTGGGGAGTACAGGTAAAGGGCTAGGCTTTGCTACTGGAAGTCGCTGGGATGAAAAACTATGAATAACACAGCGCTAATGCTTATCTTTAGCCAGATTGGAACACTGGAAAAGAGGCATTTTGCCTTAGAAGGAAGGTCCCTAGAAATTCCCACGAGTGTCTGAGGGCCTCGGGCTGGCTGCTGTTGAAGGGGCTTGGCTTCCAGCACACCACACTCCAGAGGACCGAATTTTCAATCTCTGACCCACCAGGCCACCTCTCTGAATGTCAATATCAGGAAATTAGCTTTATATTTACATCTTGTGACAACATGACCAAGAAAAGGTAATACTAACCTCATCTATTGCTTTCTTATAGCTCTGAGAGAGGAGGAACCCAATCCAGAAGAATCCACAGGTGAAGGAAAAGCCAGAAGAAAGGCAGCAGGTTAGACACACAATGGGAATTGTTAGTACACAACCACTAAATGCCAAAGAGCAGAGAGAACCTCAACCCTGAAGGGGGCAAATCCCCTTTGGGATTATTCTCGATCTGCCCCCAAACTTTAATATGTACAAACCAGAGTAAACCAAAAAGTCCTCACATTTATTTCATGGAAAAGGTTCTCTGAAATTTTAAAGAAAGTAAGTGGATAGTCACTCATCCCAAATTAATTTCCAACTTTCAAATGTCAGCCTTTACGCTCTTATTTCTTTTGCCAAAGCTATTTGGGGTCTGTCATGTCTCAGTGAGGAAGCTAGATTTCGAGTTGTCAGGCCCCTTGACAAACCATCCTTATCACATTTGGATCCAGAAAAATACAGTCCTGAAGGCATGAAGAACAGCAAAAATTACATTAATTCGTACAGAAAATAATGTAGGGAGAGGGCGGAGCAGACAACAGAAAGCCACAGAACATGCCCACATCTCCGTAACTGCAGCTCCGCATTTTTTTGTCAAAGCTGCTGAGTAGAAATTATGTAATGATAGGAGTTATTTCTCCCCGTTTTTTATTCTCTAAAGTAGCATTAACGATCAGCAAAATGCCTAAAGGCAGATAAACAATCCAAAATCTCTTCAGTTCTTTCCTGATCAGGTATGACTTCCTTCTGGATGCTTCCAGCATCCACGCTTCTTAATCTCAGTGAAGTTTTGTTTCATAGTCATGAGGGTATCCCAAACCACTTGATCCCACAGCTTCCCTGGCAACTTAAGAGAGTTCAAAAGCACTCACAGCTGGTCGACTAGGTCGGGTAATGTCTCTGGATTCTTCTGGCTTCACCTTGGAAGGCTCGTGGGGGAGCACAGGAGATCCTTCTGACTTACTGTTGGCTAGACAGAAAAACAGGGGCCAAGAAAATTAATGGCCATCACAAAGTGTTGACTCCAGTCCCACATTCTGTGGTGAGTCACCCTTCAGGATTACTCAGGGGATACGTCATTCACTTAGGCAAATCCTCAGACACATCTGTGAAAACTGTTCATGATCGGACAAATGCATTCAGGCTTGTGACCTGGAAGTCACTCTTAATCATAAGGAAAACCAGCAAGCACCACTGCCACGATCATTTACTGAGAACTAAACGTGCGTCACACTCAATGCTAAATGCCTTCTACGTCAACTGCCTCATAGGATTCTTGCTCCCACCCAACGTGTGGCACTCTTTTCCCATTTTACAGTTCAATAGACTTTGAGAAATGGCATAGTAGCCTAAGGTCCTGCAGAAATTATGGGCAGAGCTAGGATTCTGTCTGGTTTGTCCAAGTCCTATTCTCAGTTATTACACTAAACCAAGCTTCTGTGTTAATATTCTATGCTAAATTTCTTCTTTTACCACTTACCCATTAGAATAGGTCATTTTGATGGCACAGAAATGTATTGTATTTGATGGAATGGTTTTTAAATGGGAGGCAGGAGTTGTCTGGGTCCTTTAAGGAAGAAAGAATGAGGTGGGAACAGGAAGGAGAGTGTTGGTGACCAAGGGAAGAGCCCCAGGACGAGGTACAGAGCAAGCGGCGGGGGGGGCTCCCCAAGCTCCAGAGTGAAGAGCAACTTTCCGATTATTTATAGGTAGAGAAAATCTATCTGGTATAGGACAGATTCTTTTGTTGTAAGGTCTTTCCTGGGCAGAAACACTCTAGGGAGACATGGATAAAGGAGTGGATAAAGGAATGGATAAAGGAGACAACAGTGTTCTTAACCCCGAGGACCTAGAGGCCAAAGGAAAGATAAGAATTAAACCCAAACCAGATCGGAGAATTAAAATGATACCTATAACTTCAGTTTTCTTTAGTTTACTGTAAGGATAACAAGTGGCTTATGAACAGAAAAAAGATAAGCCAATGGCAGTTTTCTAAACTAAGCAAATTTATATTTGGATTAAAGCAACAAAAGTGCACATGACTATGGGCTGGGCCAGCGATGTGTGAAGAACGCATACGGGAGCAGTGGAACTCCAGTCCAGAGACAAGAGCATCGCACGCCAGGTTTCAACCTTTTTAAAATGGACAGTGATTTTACTTATTTAAAGCCTTAAAAAGATACTAGGGGACCAAATCTGGTTGTGCCCAACGAAGAGGCTAAGAAAAAAATAAAGGACTGGTGGTTTTTCTCAGGCAGAGTAATTTGTTAATATTTGTCAGATTGCACTTAAGAAAGTTCTCGTCTTTGTTGCTTGGAAGCAAAATTATCTTCTGAAGGATGTTGTTCAGAAAGAGTCAATTTTGCAGCAAGAAACAATGTGTTGTCATGTGTAATTAGCTGGCCATTCTGCTGTTTTCCACAAGCTTCTTCATTAATGAGAACTGCACAGTGATGAAAGACTTGAATAAACGGTCGGAGAGGCTCATTTTTTATTCCTCTTGAGTAGGAATAACCCAAAGAGTCAAATATACTTTTTAAGTCAAAGGGTTTACTTCTTCTCTAAAGTGCATATGTATTCTATGTTAGTCTTTACAGAATTTCACTTTGAGAGATCCCTAGTATTATGAACTATATTCAGAACACCAAAGAGGGATGACTGGCATAATGGATGGGGAAAGAGGATACTTGGAGGTACATGAAACTGGAAACAGGCAACAAATGGAAATGGCAATTCAGGTGACTCATAAGTGATGATCTTTTCAAATAAGACCAATAATCTATGATCTTCCTGGAAAACAACATCACCTGCAATGAGAAAAGATTTAGTCCAAACTCTGATGTCACACATGGGACTGGGGATGGTGGTTCTCTCATCTAAGGAGACCAAGGTCAAGGGCAGTTAGAGGACTCTGTAGCATCGCACAATGGTGGCCACACCAGGAGTGGGGAGGCACAGAAGTCTGGAAGTGAGCTGAGTCCATGCCCATCGCTCTCTGCCCGAGGCAGCGCTGTCAGGGAAAGGCAGGGGAAAGCTTACCTCGAACTCTGGTCCGTTCACTGGATCCCGCTTGCGATCCAGGCTGCGAGCCTCCCTGGGAGCTAGGCTGGGAGCTAGGGGTGCTGGAGCTGGAGGAACTGCCACTGCTGGTCCTCTGCAAGGGGCTCTCCAAGATGGGCTCAGTTCTGCGGAGGTCAGGGTTGCTGTATGGAAGGCAGAGCACCGTGACTACTCCTTCCAGATCTCGCCATTCCTAGACACAAGCACAGTCCAGCCCCGCCCCGGGTATAGAGGAGCAGCCAGAGCCCTTGTGTCACCCTGCATGGAAAGGGTCACTGGGAATGACAGTCATGTCATTCTCTGTGGAGCTCCCAGCCTGATACTGCTGATGGGATGAACTCCTGACCCAGCTGGGTCATCACACTAAAGTATTAGCTCTGAAATGGTGCTCTTCAAAAGAGGCTTTCTTTTAAACCCTTATTCCCCTGTTCATTGTAAAAACAAAACAAAACAAAACAACCAAACCTTGAAAAATAATAGAAGATTTTAAAAAGGGGGGAAAAAAAAGAAAGCAACATATGCGATCTCTGACCCAAGAGAAATACAGCTATATTTTACTATTTGGTGTAGTATCTTCTAGACTTTTTCCTCTTGTATATATGGAAGCATGCTATGCGTTCAGTTTTGCAGTTTTCTTTTTCCCCTTAACATTGCATTGGGAGCAGCTCCTTAGGCTTACAAAAACAATAATGGCTGCTTAATAGTCAGTACATGGATGAATTAGTTGAACCGTTCCTCTACAGCTGTATATTACGGTACTGCCAGTACATTGGCCTGACACATGACACTGAAATGAGTATCTCTCCAGGCACACAAATACCCATCCCTACCTCCTTTCCAGACCCGGAATTCTTGGGTGGAAAGACATGAACTGGGATGTGTGTGTTGCATATGTTTGTATATGAGCATGTAAAGGTTTCACCAGTTTTTGCTGAAGTGTAGGAAATGGTCCATCTTACTGAATCATCAACCACACTTTATTATGAGCAGTTCACTAATTTGCTTTTTTAAAAAGTATCTTGTTTTAATGTTGTTTTAAAACATTACTTTTCAAAGAAGACATCCAATGGCCAACAGACACATGAAAAAGTGCTCAACATCACTCAGCATCAGGGAAATACAAATCAAAACCAAAGTGAGATACCACTTCACCTGTCAGAATGGCTAAAATTAACAAGTCAGGAAACAACAGATGTTGGCAATGATGCAGAGAAAGGGGAACCTTCCAATACTGTTGGTGGGAATGCAAGCTATTTTCCACTTTGGAAAACAGTATGGAGGTTCCTCAAAAAGTTGAAAATAGAGCTACCCTATTACCCAGCAATCACACTACTGGGTATTTACCCTAAAGATACAAATGTAGTGATCCGAAGGGGCATGTGCACCCGAATGTTTATAGCAGCAATGTCCACAATAGCCAAACTATGGAAAGAACCTAGATGCCCATCAACAGATGAATGGATAAAGGAGATGTGGTGTATGTATATATACAATGGAATATTACGCAGCCATCAAAAGAAAATGAAATCTTGCCATTTGCAATGATGTGGATGGAACTAGAAAGTATTATGCTGAGTGAAATAAGTCAATCAGAGAAAGACAATTATCATATGACCTCTCTGATATGAGGAATTTGAGAGGCAGGGGAGGGGGTTGTGGGGGGGTAGGGAAGGAAAAAATGAAACAAGATGGAACCGGGGAGGGAGATAAACCATAAGAGGCTCTTAATTTCATGAACCAAACCAAGGGTTGGTGGGTGTGGGGGCGGTTGGGGTAGGGTGGCTGGGTGATGGACATTGGGGAGGGTATGTGCTATGGTGAGTGATGTGAAATGTGTAAGCCTAATGATTCACAGACCTGTACCCCTGGGGCAAATAATACATTATATGTTAATTTAAAAAAATAAACTAAAACATGAAAAAAAAAACCAAAAAAAAACATTACTTTTGAGGGAGAATAATTTTATTCACATTTATTTACCATTTATAATTCTTTGTCAGTTGCTTAATCAAGTTCTTTGCTTATGTGGTTAGTGGTACATTCATATTTTTAAATTTCTTTCAAGAAGTCTTTATATACTTTGGCTCTTATCAAAGGGAGGTGTGTTTTAAAGAATTATTACTAAGCACTAATTCAAGAACAATACTAGTCGTCCCCACTTGTGATGAGCCCTTACTGTATTATTCACTTTCATAGCTTAACTGCCCAAATGGTAGTTATTTGCTCATTCAGTTGGTCATACCCAGCACTGGGTCAGGCATCTGAGAGACGATGATGAACAAGATACAGCCCTTGCCCTTGGCCAGCGAGCCGGTCACGCCCAGCCAATTTCATCCGTGCTCCGCCTGCTGGGAGCCCGGGGCAGTAAGCAAGGGCCCCGGGGCAGCCACTCTTGGTGGTCGTGGAAGCTGTACTGGGACAGTGGTGGGAAACAACTGCTCAGGTTTTTAAGATTTTGTTATAAAAATAAGCAGTCTCCTCATTCAAAGTTTCCAGAAAGGTCTTTTTAATTTATAACTCCTAGGCTTTTTCATTTTTCCTCTAGATTTTCACAATGCTGGGCCTAAACGGTAATTTAGTGAGACCTGAAACCAAGAGCTCAAATCTGCTGCCAGCCACCTGTCCCATGGATTCCTCCGTGTTTCCAATGCCTTCGGTTCTCCAAACAGAACTGCACATCTTTGCTAACAGTCACCACAGTGTGAATGGAGACATGATTTTTAATGCAGGAAGTCCTGTTAAAATGTAATTTTACACTTTCATCTTGCTCCGCTCATTTCGACAATGTCAAGTGCACTCTGAACTGTGCTGGGTCTCCCACATTTCATGTATAAAAATGAAAATAATATGGTTTCTTCCCTTGAGACATTTGCATTTTAGTGTGCCAAAAATCTGGCCACAGAACAGCATCATTATAGTAGCAACTAGACCAAATAATTTTTTTCGAAAACACAAGATCCTTACTTTTTGCTGAGGTATCTGCCAAAAACATTTGGTTGAGTTACAAACATTTTTTTAAAAAAAGATTTTATTTTTTTTATTTCACAGAGAAAGAGAGAGAGAGCAAGTACAAAGGGGGAGCTGGAGAGAGAGAGAAAGAAGTAGACTCTCTGCTGAGCAGGGAGCCCGATGTGGGGCTCGATCCCGGGAACCTGGGATCAGATCCTGAGCTGAAGGCAGATATTTAACCGACTGAGCCACCCAGATGCCCTAAGTTACGAACATTTTTAAATATCGGGTTATTGGAAGACATGGTTGGTGGCCCTGAAAAACACATGTAAAAACAAAGATATCCCCATAACTTACTAATTTTGATTGTATAAATGTAAACGTTATGGCAACATTTATCTTTTAAGTTCTTATGGTGAAGGAGTTGCTAAGTCAACCCAGCAGTATGACCAATTGCAGCAGAAGTAATTATCAAGTTTAAGGAAAATGTTTAAAATTCTCAATATTGTTATGGAACTAAACTGCTACCATTTAATTGGCTTAAATAGATTTGGTTCCATACTAGAAACAGCTCTGATTTGGAGAACACCTAAAATGATAAATGTATAACACTTGCACAATATCCTACCTTTTGAATTCTCCTTAAATAAATAATCTTATTGGGGCATCTGGGTGGCTCAGTGGGTTAAGCCTCTGCCTTCGGCTCAGGTCATGATCTCACGGTCCTGGGATCGAGCCCTGCATCAGGCTCTCTGCTCAGCAGGGAGCCTGCTTCCCCCTCTCTCTCTGCCTGGCTCTCTGCTTACTTGTGATCTCTCTCTCTCTGTCAAATAAATAAATAAAATCTTAAAAAAAAAAGAAATAATCTTATCTCCTGTCATTCCCCAATAATAAATTCTTTCCCATGCTCTTCTCTTATTAAACAGTGGTAGTTTATTTAATTAATTATATTATTTGATCAATTCTTTATTTAATTAATTATATAGAAATAAATTTTATTAATTTAATTTAATTAATTATGTAGGAATAAAATTAATAAAGTCCCCAAATACTTTTTTCTGAAAATTCTATTGCTAACCAACTGTATTGCAGATTGAGTGTGAGGGGCACACTAAGGCTTCTTGGTAGTTGCTTCCATTTTATAGAATGGTAATGTAGTGTTCCTTGAATAAAAAAAAAAAAAAAAAACACAAAAAATCCAGCTATGAGGAGAGGGTAGCTGTGAGCTCTGAGATTTTTCCTAGCTGTTACGTGAACACAGCACTCCTTCAATCCTTTAACCAACACCTTTCTATGAAGCACCTACTTTGTGAGCCTCATTTGACCAGTATGAGGGATGGAGAAAAGCACCGTCTCAGGTATGAGGTGCAGGATAATTCTAGAGAAGGGAAACATGAAGTGGAGAGCACAGTGGATAAGGCAAACCTCTGTATGCCGTGTGTGAAAGGACCTGCAAGTATTGTCAGTGTTTGGGGAACAACGAATGTGGTCTAGAGTGGTCGAGGTGGGGTCACCATGGAGACAGGTCTTGACTGGGTCTTGGAGTGGGGAGCAGGAAGTCTGGAGGAAGGAGCTGAGTGAGGACACGGGGGCTGGGGTCTTCCCGGGGCTCGCCGGTATGGGGAGGACACCACCGTGAGAGAAGAGTAGGGAGGAGCACCACATCTGTGTCAGGTTTCCTGGGAAGACTGGCTCATCGGAAGGGGTGGACAGTTGAGGCTGCAGTGCCTGTAAGGCTGGGCAGAGCACACAGACCTCCCAGGGCCGGGTTCCATCAGACCGGCTTGGGGAGAGAGGCAGGCTGACCAGATGGGAGGCCGCCACTGTCCTGATGAGAAGGCCTGGGACACGGTTGTCAAGGAGGGGCACGGGGACTGGCAGAAGCAGCTGGGATGTGCACACGTCTTCGATGGGACTCAGAGCCTCTTTCTGTGTGAAATTAATTGGATCCCACGGGCATTAAATCCCTGACCTGGGCCTCATTAGCACGAGTCCTCCTTGCTGGAGCTCACCAGCATGGGTGCTGGCTGGGTTTAATAGGCTGCTGTTTTTGCTGCTGGAGACTGAAAAAAACTATTTCATTTCTATATAATGCCACGTAGAAATCAGGAAAATTTTAAAATGCTTTTTCTATCTTATTAATTTTTTGGGGGGGAATATAAGTATTTTGAGAAAATGTCATACCATTCATATT